GTGATGTAGTATGCAAGAGAATTAAGTTATGTTATGGGTTGTGTTCATGAAAAGAAGTAACTCAATTGGATGGTCCTCACACTTCTTGGGATGTTCTACACTTATGGATGATGTTATTGTAAGATTAAACCATAATATCGCATGAATCTTATACTCAAATTGAGCTTCAAGTTAATTTGGCTAAGTGAAGAGACGGTTGAATTTCGGACTGCATTTTCAGGGGAATCGCCGCACGTGCGGGGGTCATGGCCGCACGTGCGGGAAGTACTGCCGCACGTGCGGGGACCCTTGCCGTACGTGCGGGGCTCACAGCTGCACGTGCAGCCCATGCTGAGAAAAACTATTTGCTCCGTTTTGCGTGCTGGGCCCTCGAATATTTTTAGAATTTGTATTTTATGCCTAATAATGTGTTGAAGTGAAATGAATCCGAAAATGATTCAGCAAAGAGAATAAACTAATTTGCAAGTTATGAATGTGTGCAGGACACACTCCGAGAGGAACGAGCACGTCGTCACAACACTGTGAATAGTAGTACAGTAGACGTACATTTTACTTACTGTTTATAATTAATGTTATTAACGTTCTGTGCTTTGTAAGTGATTACGTTAACATGTATATAAATTGTCCAGAACGACATATACTATGGATGTTACACTCTGACTGAATTAACGAATACGATGAAATGGTGACATGAAAGATGAAACAAACGTGTATAATGAATAAAAGGAAACTTATGTTCATTCTTGAATAACGGTTTTAGTGTAACTATGAAAGTAGACCGTTTTGCTACTAATGGGCCTGAGGCCGTTCAATTATAACTCATTGAGTATGGATATTTCTGAAGGATCAGAATAATTGGATAAGCTATGTGCATCCGAATGAATCTGAAATGGTTCTGTTGTGTTGCATATGAATGCAAAGGTTTAACGTTATTATGTGCTCTCTATCACATTCTTATTCTGCTATACGCGAGACAACTGTGTTACTCTGTAACTAAGTCATGAAAAATTATGTGCACTATCCCATAATAGTATTCATAAGGAACTGAGGTTATTCTACTTCTGTTTATCTGTTCCGGTTATGCTATGTTATGACATAATATGCATTGTTCACGGAACAAAGTGTTGTACGGAACAAAGTGCTGCAGTGCAAGTCACCTCTAGAATCCGTACAAGCCACCTCTTGAGTCCATACATATGTGAACTGAGGCCTATGGCCGTTTTGTGAAAGTTATGAGGCTTTGCGGGGCTCACAGCCGCACGTGCAGCCCATGCTGAGAAAAACTATTTGCTCCGTTTAGCGTGCTGGGCCCTCGAATATTTTTAGAATTTGTATTTTATGCCTAATAATGTGTTGAAGTGAAATGAATCCGGAAATGATTCAACAAAGAGAATAAACTAATTTGCAAGTTATGAATGTGTGCAGGACACACTCCGAGAGGAACGAGCACGTCGTCACAACACTGTGAGTAGTAGTACAGTAGACGTACATTTTACTTACTGTTTATAATTAATGTTATTAACGTTCTGTGCTTTGTAAGTGATTACGTTAACATGTATATAAATTGTCCAGAACGACATATACTATGGATGTTGCACTCTGACTGAATTAACGAATACGATGAAATGGTGACATGAAAGATGAAACAAACATGTATAATGAATAAAAGGAAACTTATGTTCATTCTTTAATAACGATTTTAGTGTAACTATGAAAGTAGACCGTTTTGCTACTAATGGGCCTGAGGCCGTTCAGTTATAACTCATTGAGTATGGATATTACTGAAGGATCAGAATAATTGGATAAGCTATGTGCATCCGAATGAATCTGAAATGGTTCTGTTGTGTTGCATATGGACCCGAGGACATGTAGAACCTACGATATGAAAGCAAAGGTTTAACGTTATTATGTGCTCTCTGTCACATTCTTATTCTACTATACGCGAGACAACTGTGTTACTCTGTAACTAAGTCATGAGAAATTATGTGCACTATCCCATAATGGCATTCAGAAGGAACTGAGGTTATTCTACTTCTGTTTATCTGTTCCGGTTATGCTATGTTATGATATAATATGCATTGTTCGGTCTTTAAGACCTAATGATTTCTGGTATGGAACAAAGTGTTGTACGCTACTAAGTGCTGTAGTGCGAGTCACCTCTAGAATCCGTACGAGCCACCTCTTGAGTCCATACATATGTGAACTGAGGCCTATGGCCGTTTTGTGAAAGTTATGAGGCTTATGGCCGTTCTGTGACGTATGTGAGGCCTATGGCCAATCTTTGACATCTGGGCCAATGGCCATTCTGTATGGTCTGTTAGTATGAAACAAAGTGCTGCACAGAACTAAGTGCTGCAATGCGAGTCACCTCTAGAATCCGTGCGAGCCACCTCTTGAATTCATACATACAGGAAAAGGGCTTAATGCCATTTTGATAAGGGCTGTATGCCATTCTAATAAGGGCTTAATGTCGTTCTGTTTAAGGGCCAATTTGTGAAGCTATGAATCCATGAGGCCAAGGGCCAATTTGTGAATGTGTGAACCCACCAGGCCAAGGGCCAATCTGTGACGTTGGTGAACCGACAAGGCCGTTCTGAATATTAGAACAGAATCAGATTAACTACCTGTCTTTTACATTATATACGCATTGCTCTGCATTATAATTCAAGTTAAACATTGAGTTATTAAGGTACTATTATTCACTGAGATTGTCTCACTCTGTATTTTGTCTGATTCTGTAGGTAATGAGTCTGGAGGTCAGCCATAACCCTCGATGCTCGTCTCCCTTTGTCGGCCTCTGTGTGTCCAAGCATTTGGGTGAAGCCTACCCGTTTTGTGAAATTTTGCTAAGTTTTGGCTTATATTTTGATTGTCTATAATATGTTGAAGTTTTCAATGTTTTTGTTATACGCCCAAACAAGGGGCGGGGTTGTATATGTGTATGTAAATATTATTATGTGATGCACTGTTTGTGATCCTGGCATGATAGTGGTCGCTCAATAGATGTAGTTTCTTTTATTTCATGTTATTTTATAAAATTTATGCTTCCGCTCAGTCCCCATATTTTATGTATAACAGGTTAAGTGTCCGTTTCTGAAGTGGTCATGCCCAAACTTTTAGGGGCGGGTTTGGGGCGTGACAGTACCAGTTCCCATGTTTTACGTTTATTTTTATTATTTATTTTTTTTTTACTATGCAACTATCAACAATGGCTTGTGTAAAATCTTAACACTAACAAATAAAATAAGGGGTAAATTATACAATAGTTCCTAAAGTATATTACTTATTTCATGTAGGTCCCTAATCTTTAATTTGAATCAATTACATCCCTAAACATTACACATTAATTCAATTATTCAATGTGATCCCTTCCGACAGAAAATGTTGAAAACATGCTTATATCAAAGCTTTGAAGGGTCTATTTAAGCAAAATAGCATCGAACAATGGACAGAAGATTAGGGTTTAACGTATCACACAAAAATTGGGATTTTGGGGGATTTAAGGATTATCTAAGCAACTTAGAAGCACAATAAACTGAATATTAACTCCTTGTTGCAATATGGGAGAATCAGAAGACTTTGTTCCTCATTATAGTATGTATTTCAGTTTTTAAAATTAACTTGTTTGCGTATATTGAATTCATGTGTTCCTCGAATAGGGTTTTTTTTTAAATCCAAAATCTGGGTTGTATACCACCTAATGTAAGGCTAATGTAAGCATGATGTCAACATTTTTTGTCTAAAGATAATGGTAGTTATAGAAAGGGACCACAATGAATTCATGTGTAAAATTTAAGGATGTAAAAGAGCATCTCCAAGGAGTTCTTTAAAAGAGACATGTGAACTATTATAAGTTATAACTACCATTATCATATTTTAGTCACTCCAATAGGCTAACTATCTATTTCAACAAAAAATTTTAGGGCTAGCTACATTTGAAGATCCTTGGGAGGCTCTTTAAATATAGATAGATAAAATAAAGAGTAGCATTGGAGAACATAGACAAAAATAAATAAATAAATAAATAAAAAGACAAAATAAAAAATTACCTTTTATATTTTAACTAGTAAAAAATAAAGTGTATGGTTGGAGTTGCTCTAACTGAAACAGAATTAAAATTAGGGACCAAGATGAAATAAGTGGTATCCTTTAGGAACTATTTATGTAATTTACCCATAAAATAGGTATTCCTCAAAATGGCTAGCAGTGCATTTTCCTTTTTTAACTTATTAATTGAGTTGGAAACAGCTACCATCGACTAAAAGAACCACCCTAAGGCCCAGGTTGGTTTTCAAACAGGTAAATAGTGAAGGAAGAAACGCGGCCCAAAATTGGCAACGACGAAAGGGGTTGAATCCCAAAACCTATTGCCACATTGTTTGTGGTTTTAAAAGTTTCCCATGCCGCTTAATTTCCGTGTGTATAATTGAAATCAAAACCCAGGATTGGATAAAGGGGGCAGAAGGAAACATTCTTCAAACCGAACTCCACCACTCCCCTCCAGATGTCATTCTCACACAATTAACCACTATAATGCGTCAACTATGGCAATTCATACTAAATTCTTCACATTTTCCCCCCTAATTCAACTTGCTGGATGTGAGTAATTTTCCAATAAGTATTCCTTTCGGCATTTATTAGTAGTATAATGAGCAATTTTCTTAATGTTTTAGCCTAATTAAATAAGAAGAATAAAATCACAACATAAAAAATAATAATAACAACAATAACAGTAACAAAGATTCTAAGAATAACAAAACACCAATATCTCATTTACAAAGCATTTCTGTCGAGATCAATAGATTTGCTTTAAAGCCCAGAAGCTTTGGCCACTGGTCTGGTCATAGCAGTTAGTTACAAGGTGAGTCTGAAAAGAAAGTTCTAATCATCCTATCCAAGTTAAGGCCCTAATCTTTTGATGGAATAAAATACAAACCAAAAATATAAAGAGAGAATAAAAAATTTGGTATACAAGGAAGAAAAAGAAACAAAATACTGACCTGATTCATGAAGATAACGGAAGACTATGTAGTTCAATTCGGTGGAAGTGATAGAGATCATCGTCGCCACAAGCCTGCATAGAGAGAGAGAGAGAGAGAGAGAGAGAGAGAGAGAGAGAGAGAGAAATCGAGGATGGAGATTCTACTCTGGGTCGCAGGGTGGAGAATGCAATGGAGATGGGATTCTCGCTTGAATGACGAAAATGTCCTCATAAACGGCCGTTTCAGCAGCGATGCGATGGCCTGGGTGTCAGCGTGGGCTTCGCTTCGTTTGACAACTTGATTTTAGGATTGATTTGGCATGAACTATATAATTTATTTTTATTTTTTTTATTATATTATTTTTTTATTTTTTTGTATATTTTTTTATAAAAAGATAAAAAAATATATTTTTTTAAGACATTTCAAACTAACCCTTAGACTAAAAACTATCAATTGTGATAGAAATTCTTACACATATAACCTCTGTAACCCTCACTCTCATTGACAACTTGATTTTAGTCTAAAAACTATCAATTGTGATAGAGATTCTTTGTAACAACTCTTGTCACTGTTTACCGATTAATCACTGATTATTGCTGAACTGAGACTGATTATGATTGGTAACTGAATTGATTGAAGTACTGAACTGACTGACTAAAATCTGGAACTGAATTGATTAAGCCTCCGTTTGGGAAGTGGGTTGGCTTTTTGGCTTTTTGGCTTTTTTGGCTATTTTAGCCTGGGCTAAAAAGCTTGGTTTGGGAAGGGCTTTTTGGCTTTTTGGCTTTTTTGACTTTTTTTGTGAGAGAAGAATGTAATGATTATAGGTTGGATGTGATGTTTTGTTTGTTATGGCTAAAATAGCCTATTTTGTTTTTTGTGGCTAAAATAGCTCAAAAAGCCTGAAAAAGCCCTTGCCAAACACAGGCTAAGTATATCTGTTTAATTGTATGTCTATCTGTTGACTGTTTGATTATCTGTTCATGCCTTTGTGTTTAAATTGCGAATTGAAGGCCTTATCGGCGGCCGAATCTGAAATTGATTGATGATTTGTGATTCTTAGAATTAATGTGATTTTATGGCATATTCAGTTAAAATGTGATTTGGTATGATTAAATTGAATTAAAATCAGTTAAATTACAAGAGTTGGACTTAATTGCCATTTTGCCACCTAGTGGATTTTCATGAGCCTCTTAGTTGATATCTAATGCTAACATTACAACACTTCATCAGCCCATTCTTTCTTAGACTTGCCGACCAAGAGGGAGAGAGGGAGAGAAGTGAGTGTTCTTGAGAGTTGGCTTAGAGAACTTGAAGAATTGAAGGACAATTGTCTAATTAAGCTTCTAGTCTTGTGATTGAAGACTTAGGTAAGGAAATTCAAGCTCTCATTGTTGTGTTTAAGTTGATTCTTGCATGGTTCATGTTAATTGAATGAATGTATGTCCTATATTCTGAACTGTATTGTGGCATCCTTAGCAACTACTGTTTACTGTTACTGTTACAGAGATCTCTGTCGGTTCCCTTGTTGGAACCACTACTGTTACTGATTGATGGCCATCATTTACTGTTCGGTCTTTTAAGACCTACTGTTTACTGTACTGTTATGCTAATGGATGTACCACATATGACTATATCGACTGAACGACTGAAATATTGATTTAATGAACTGTTTTCATTATTGTAAGGACATTCATTCTTAACCCCTTTACGCATTGTGTTATTCACTGGGCTTTAGCTCACTGCTCATATATATATAACTGTAAAACAGGAGAGAGAATAGGCCAATTTTAGGAAGGGTTCAAGACATCTTAATGAGGATATAGATGTAGAACACACCGAGGCAAATTAGGGATTAAGTTATTATTTTTCCCATGTGTAGCTTAGTGTGTGTGTTCAATCTGTAACTATGTAGGGTTGGCGGCTGGGGACGCGCTCTAGCTTTACTGTAGCCCAGAACTCTGTGAGTAACAACTGTGTAAAGATATGTTCAAAATGATTATCTTCTGAACAATTGAACTGTACTGCTTTTGAATTGAATACTGTTAATTGAATGAATGTATGTCCTATATTTTGAACTGTATTGTGGCATCCTTAGCACCTACTGTTTACTGTTACTGTTACAGAGATCTCTGTCGGTTCCCTTGTTGGAACCACTACTGTTTACTGATTGATGGCCATCATTTACTGTTCTGTCTTTTAAGACCTACTGTTTACTGTACTGTTATGCTAATGGATGTACCACATATGACTGTACTGACTGAACGACTGAAATACTGATTTAATGAACTGTTTTCATTACTGTAAGGACATTCATTCTAAACCCCTTTACGCATTATGTTATTCACTGGGCTTTAGCTCACTGCTTATATATATATGTAGGTGTACAAGCACCAAACCGCAGCTAGAAACGTCGGGGTAAACTCCAGTTTTGTCAAGCCAACCTATGTGCCTCACTGCGAGGTTCCGAGCCTGTCAAGCTAAGGCTATGGGGTGTTTTAGTTTTCCCCCTTCTGTTCTGTCTTGTAAACTGTAAACTGTTACCGTACTGTTTAATAAGGATTAGGTCCTGAACTAAATAATTGTATATATGTACATACTGTTCTGTACTGTTCATGTATATATATATGAAAAGTCTTTTTGGCATACAGACTGTCACAGCTCATTGGATATTGTTTATTTACTGTTTTGGCTTCCGCCATGTCCCTGTACTCTGTTTTACTGTATTACTGTTAAGCAGGTCTTCGGCAATCTTGGATTACTGGCCGGTTACGGTGCTAAACCAATAGGGGCGGGTTTGGGTTGTGACAGAATGGTATCAGAGTGATACTTACCACGAGTTATACCGCACACACGTGTCCCAATGAGCTATAGGATGTCCTAGAAAAACAATTAGGGCATTACATGAGCATGATAAGTGTGTGGCTATGACATGACTGAATGTATGCTAATGTGTTAATTTGTTTAAACAAATAACTGTCTCTGTTGATAACTGTTATAACTGCCTATAGTGAAATGGATAATGCGAGAACTGCAAATGAATCTGAATCTGAATCTGAATCCTCTGAGGCAAGAATGGCAAGACTGGAAAGAATGATGGAACTAATAACTGAGAGACTAGATCAACAACAGAATCAACAGCCCCCACCTCCTCCTCCGGTACAGCCGGAGCAGAATGTGAATGTTAATGATGGGGACATAATTGCTCTCACCCATAAGTTCAGCAAAATGAAACCGCCATCCTTCTAGGGAGGCCTTGAACCGTTAAAAGTTGAAGCATGGGTTCTCGAGACAGAAAAATTGTTTGAGGTTTTTCCGTGCTCCGAAGCACATAAAGTGCTATTGGCCACCTTTACTCTGCAAGAAGAAGCTAGAAGGTGGTGGATGCTTATCCGTGATGACAATACTGTTATGACTTGGGCTCAATTCAAAGGAGCATTCTTTGAAAAGTATTTCCCTCAGTGTGTCAAGGACAGGAAAGTAACTGAATTCGAACAGCTGAGACAGGGCACAATATCCATTGCTGAATATGAAACGAAGTTCACCGAGCTTGCTAGATATGCACCACATATGGTTGACACTGACTACAAAAAGGCCAGAAAGTTTGAAGGCAGCCTTAATGTTGCAATACTCGACAGAATAAATGTTCTGAAATTACTGAATTATGTAAATGTTCTTGACGAGCCTTGATGGCTGAATCGAACATCGAGGCACTGAAAACTGAAACACCAACATCTGAATGGCGTGGTAAAAGGCAGGGTTTTAAATTCAAGAAAGGCAAGCATAACCCATTGAATAAGAAACAGAATACGGGGTCAACAACTAGCTCTAGCCAAGGGAGTGGTTTCATACCACCCTGTTCTGAGTGTGGCAAGAAGCACAAAGGAGTCTGTTACAAAATATCTAGAGCCTGTTACAGGTGTGGCAAGGCGGGCCACATGGTTAAAGACTGCCCCTCTACTCCACAAGCCAGTAGAGCGCTCAATTGGTGAAGTCTGAGTCTAAAGGTGGGTCAAAAATGGGGTGTCTACAGTTCTGAGCCCGTCAAGTTATGGCTTAGGGGTGTTTTTAATTTCCCCGTCTGTCTCTGTATCTGTCTTGTGCGACTGTTTAGACTGTTACTGTACTGTTTGATAGGGGAAAGAGCCCATGAGGCAGGGCCGAGTGTTCGCCCTAGTACCGGGAGACGTGCAGAATACCGAGACCGTTGTGTCTGGTATTCTCTCTATTTGTACTTAAAATGCTTATGTACTGATTGATTCGGGGTCTACGCATTCATATGTGTCGCATGCTTTTTCGCGAAAACTGAATAGACCATTAGAACCCATGAATTATTTGTTAGCTGTATCATCACCCATTGGGGGATCTATGACCTGTGCATATATGTACCCTGCTTGTGAAATTATTGTTGGAGATGCACATTTGTTTATTGACTTACTGCCCCTGAACATTGATCATTTTGATGTAATATTGGGAATGGACTGGTTAACGAAATACCATGCTACCATAGACTGTGTAACGAAAAAAGTAGTTTTCCGTCCACCAGGTTTACCCGAATTTGTGTTTGATGGGGTTGGAGTAGTACCTCCTCCGTACTTGATTTCATCTGTGAAAGCTGTTAAATTGATTAGAAAGGGGTGTAAGGGATATCTGTGTTCTGTATTGACTGTATCTACTGATGATAATGCTAACGTGAACAGTATTCCTATAGTCAGAGAATTCCCAGATGTTTTTCCAGATAATCTGTCAGGGGATTTGATTGACAGGGAGATTGAATTTATCGTTGATGTGATTCCGGGAACGCAGCCAGTATCTAAAGCTCCTTACCGAATGGCTCCAGCTGAACTGAAAGAATTGAAAGTGCAACTGCAAGAACTGTTAGATAAGAAGTTCATCAGGCCTAGCACTTCGCCATGGGGCGCTCCTGTTTTATTTGTGAAAAAGAAAGACGGCTCACTGTGACTTTGTATTGACTACCGTGAACTGAACAAGGTAACTGTGAAAAATAAATACCCATTGCCACGTATTGATGACTTATTTGATCAGTTACAGGGTGCTCAAGTGTTTTCTAAGATCGACCTCAGATCAGGCTACCATCAGTTGAAAGTTAAACCAGAAGACATTGACAAAACTGCTTTTCGAACGAGGTATGGACATTAGGAATTTTTA